AGCAGCTAAAAGCAGGACAGGTGAAAGGTGAGTAAAGAGAAGGTCAGGGAAATCTTTACACAAACCTGCACATCACTCTTTACACTTCTATAGTACAAAGAAATCACACTGAAAAATTACTAAATATCTTGTGAGTGAGCCAAAAAAGTTGTTTCTTACATAATAAAACTGTTCAGTGAAACAGTATTTAAAGTGTTTTTAATAACTCTTAACTGTAAATTACATGCTTTATCTAAAATACCATCAGTGTCATTCCAACCCCCCCCCCCCCCCCCCCCCCCCCCCCCCCAGCCCCAACAGTAAGAAATTCTTCAAAACTGAGACATCTGTTATAATATGCTGATGCGTGCAGCACTTTAGGTTTACCAGGCTCCCAGCAGCCCCTTCTCCTTTGCTCGTTCTCCCACGCTGCAGTCAGGGAGCTGAAGTGCTGCCTCCTGGGAGCTGCACAGATCTCAGGTCGAGGCTCTTCTATCAGAGTGTGTATCTACAAGCATAACAATAAGACAAATAGGTGAAGGGATTTTAAACCTGAAGCTTTTTAAATGCACTTTTAATCAAAGTGGCAGTTCCTATAAGAGACTAAATGATTTACTGCATTCATTTGTCATCTTCTGGGTCGACAGCATAAAGGTTGTTAAACAAGCATGAAAAGCTTTATGTAAAAATTAGGACTTGGAGAAAAAAAATCCTTTATCTTTTAACAACTTTCTCGTATTGATATCAACATAAATGTTTAACTTGCTGGTTTCATGGTTTCTAACAGAGCAGCAAATGATGGTACTGATGTGGACCAGCTCTGGTTTTTCTATCACAAACAGAAGATAACCACAAATTGAGTGTGAGTTTAAAAAGCTTGAGCTCAAATTACAGACCAAAAAAAAAAAAAAAAAAAACGTTTGCATGATTCCCACCAGTCCCATCCATTCTCATTTGTGTAAGAGCACATGCAACATTACAGATTGCTGTAATCCCTCAAAGCTGACGTTTGTGATGTGGTTGTTAATGTTGTTGGCTTGTGCCTCGGGGACAACCAACGATTTGTGCAGCCGTTTCCCCTCAAGAACCTGGCGTCGGTGCAGGTGATTGTGTTCCAATGATGCCGTTGCATGAAAATGTGCTGAATGCCGTAAATCCAAGAACAGTTATGAAAATATCCTGAAGCCCAGATCAAGTTGAAACATTGGCTAAATGAAAATTGCAGTAACACAACGTCTCCATCTGTTTCCCAACACAACGTTGATAGGTGTTTCATTCGAAGAAAGGTAACGTAAATGCAGTTCTGCTGAAACTAGCCATGCGTCCTCCACCTTCTTCTAAGGAGAGAAACTCTTGAGTGAAAACTGGTGTTGCAAGCACCTTTCAGCACCTTCTGATTCAATGCACATTTACTGAGGAGCGCAGGTAATACAGCTCTGCAGGAAGGCTGAAACACAGTCAGTTTCTGTCAGCGGGGGTCTATAACCTGGATCTGTGCTCCAGCTGTTCCAAAGTGTACCTGACATGGAAAATCTTGGTGGTGTCCTGGGAAATCGAGGCACAGCAGCAGGAGATGATCATTAAATATTTCATAGAAGGTTGTTGAGGACCACAAGGAAAGAAGGTAGCAGCAAAGCAAAGGGCCTTACAGAGTCTTTTGCTTATTCTTTTGTTAGTTTTTAGAGTTTTCTTGTTAATTTAATGCTTTATTTTGGAGCCAAATCACAGTGAAACATGAACACTTTATTTCATATATACACACATATATATATATATTTCTACCTCTCATCTACTCCAAAGCTCGGGAGGGCGGCGTGTAGGGAAAGAG